AAATAAAACAAAATCAAAACAAACAACAGAAAATCCAGGCTCTTTCCACCCACATTTCTGGATTTCAGAGGTACCTTATTACAGTAATCCATACATCAATTGCTACAGCATGGACTTTGAAGATCCTGTGGCAGCTTTCCCTGCCTTACTAGCAGAGCTGTGAGCTTGATAACTAATCACTCCTTAACAACTCATGTTTCCTCTGCAAAAGCCCCTGAAATGCAACTAGTGGGGGGAAATATATGAGCAGGGATTTGTGAAGTAGAAAAATCACTTTGGGCTTCTTTTCCCAGTAACCCACAGGGTTTTTTAATGGGGGCTGGGGTGACAATGAATGCAGTTCTATTTCCCACATGCCCAGACCGTGCAATTGGGAAGTGATTCCTGGTAGTGTGTTTCAGAAACGTCCCCAAATAATGAAAACACAACATGGATTTGTTGAAGGACTCTCTGGTTTGGCTGCTGCTTGAATTTTTCTGTAGGAATTTTCAAAACCAGGTATCTTTCTCCCAGATATGTCCCCCCATCCTGGCTTACACATGGGAAAATAGCATAAGCCAACTCATATAAATCTATGTCTGCTCAGGATTTTCCCAGTTGTGACTCTAAAATCTTCATTTCTGTGATGACACAGGCTCTTTGCTAGGTAACAATTACTGAAACCTCGTTTCTGGTCACCCTTTTTGCCCAAATGGAAGCATCCAAGCTGTTGCTGGATGAAAAAAGTGACAACAGCCCTCTGCCCCACACACACCTGATTGCACAAGCAGTGGTTTGCTTAGAAGCTGATCCATTTATTAGGGGGATCTTCAGTATCCCCCCCTATTGCTGAAGCCACACACATTTCCATGTCCCATTCCTGGCTGCAGCTGCACAGCCCATCCAGAACTGCATCTGCCAGGGGCTGGGCAAAGCAGCCCTGCTAACTCAGAAACTGAAAACAGAGTTCAGCCTGGCACACACACAGCCAAAAGGCACGGTGGATAGCACACGCTGCAGGTGCACTTTGTCTCTTTTTTTGGGCCAAAATGTAAAGGCTCCTAAGCAGAGGTATTTTGAGCACTCATAGTCAAGTGAGTTATGAGCTGGAAAAGCATCAGCCACGCAGTGTTATCCAGCACATGCCCTGTTCTTCTCCTCCTGGTTTATACATTTTCCCTCCTCTTTAGATTTCTGGGCACATTCTGTGTCTTGTGATGACATGGAAGAACAAGGCCTTTAAGTCTTTATTAATTGCTACTACTGTAGTTTTAAAAGGAGCTATTTAGGAGCTATCAGCTTTGTTACCATAGGAATGAAGCTGTAGGATTCACTGAAAGAACAATTTAAATAGCAATGTTTAAGTAGTTCACATCAACTTTAATTCTCCGCTCCATCCCAGCTCGTCTTGGCCGTGAAGAAAAAGACTTTAAAAGCTCTCTCCCCTCCTCAGTGCTGCTTGACTCCAGCCCAAATTAGGAGGTGCAGCCCTGTTATCTATAGCAGGTCTCAGCAATGTCCCTTCCCACCCACAGAGCACTTCCTCCTCTTGCCGAGTGAAGCAGCTGCAAAGTGCTCCTTGGCTCAGGCAGAGCTCCTCGTCTGGCTTTTTTCAGCTGTTTTAAAACAATGTTTATGCAGCTTCTATACTGTGAGAACAGGGTGAATGGAGGAGTCCACAGTACAAGAGCAGGTTGGGACGCTTGTAGCTGATGAGTTTGCCCCTTACTCAGTGTAACTCTGGTCTGGGGGAACCCCTGTGTGCCTCCTGCTGAGCTGGTCTGCTCTTCTTTTTCTGTTTGAAAGGTTTAGGTCTGCATGAAGTAAAAAGGCAAAATGGGACAGGTGAGTTGATTAGCCACCCTGCTGCAGGAGGAGACAAGGCAAGGAAGGAGAACAGTGAAAAGCTGACACTCACATTGCCTCCTGTTTGTTTTTTAAACCTTTGAACCATGGAAACTTGATGAGCAGCAAGAAGTGGAGTAACATTTTGTTTTCCCTGGATTTGACTCTTTTGCAATGCTATCACTATTCAGGTTTGTAAACAGTGTACTAGTTGCCCACCTCATCTTTGGGAGAGTCTTGGAAGGGACTGCTTTGTTGAACAGCAAGTTTTTCACCCTTAAAACAGATGCCTGGTGTTGGGGATGAGACTGGGATGTTCCTCAGCTCTCAGGAAAGGTAACAGGTCTAATGACTCCTGTAGGGACAGCTTTAGCTCCCCACATGTCCTGAAACACACCACTTCTTTCTCCATAGCTGTTTTCACTCACTGCTCTGGAGTCTGGGTCAGGGAGGGGGAGAGGAGCCTCTCCAGGATGTTAAAAAGTGTCTGTGACTCCACAGGTGCTGTGAGGAGCCTCTCCAGACCTTACACTGTGGCTGTGACTCCACAGGTGCTCTCAGGTGCCTCTCCAGGACCTTACACTGTGTGTCTGTGACTCCACAGGTGCTCTCAGGTGCCTCTCCAGGACCTTACACTGTGTCTGTGACTCCACAGGTGCTCTCAGGTACCTCTCCAGGACCTTACACTGTGTGTCTGTGACTCCACAGGTGCTCTCAGGTGCTCCAGCCATTTACAGATTAAGAACCTAATGCCTGGCTCTTCCTCAGCAATGAAGATGAGCCAGGAGAGCAAGCCAGTGACCACATTTTGGCATGACTTTCTGGCAATTACAGTGGCCCTATTTATCACCCAACGTCTCCTTTTCATTGCCTGTGTGCTCCAGCCTTCTAGAGCCTGGCTTATCTTCCAGCTGTCTGGCCAAGTCTGCTGCAGGGAGCTGTGAGCACAGGATCCAGCCTCCACAACACAGGACAAACTGGTCACAGGGATAGGGAGTGACCAGAAAACACAGAAAACACACTACCAACACTATTCTAGCAGGGCACTGCCCAGCAGACCCACACTCCAGAGTCTGCTTTGTGCCCAGCTCTGTTTTCAGCAAAGGTGTAACAGCACTGCCACAGCTCCCACTGCTGTTACTGCTGGCTACAGGCAAATAGGTGTTTAAATAGGTGTTTTCAGACACCACCCCCCTCACACACACACACTTATTTCTCTGCAAGCTGTTGAAACTGGATCCTTTTATGGGAATGTACAAAAGAGGGGTTTTCATAAGCAAGCTGGAGGTGGTGGAAGGCACAGTTGCTGCTCTGTTGAGGTAGCTGATAGTGCTCCATGGCCCTTCCACCCCATTAAATTCACCCTGCTGTGCTGCCCACTGATTTGTGCCTTCCTTTCCACACAGATTCACAAATATGGTCACAGTCAAAATACAGGACCTCATTCATATTTTATCTAATATTTCCTTGCATCCCAAAGGGAAAAAAAAGGAGAGAGGAGGAAGACTTCGAAGGACTGGGATGTTTTTATTGGCTTTCCAGTTCTTTTGTCTCCCATCCAGGACTATAAGAAAACATTTTTACTATTTATACTATCATATTGAAGTCTACAAAAAGGATACAGCAGGTAAAAGAGGCTCTGGTTGATCCTGTGCTGGTATAGCATTTTAACAGAGCACTTCAAAGGCAGTTTTGTATTTTTTAAATATCAGCTCTCAAACTATTAAGAATACCAGGCAGAGAGGACTCTTTTAGTGTTTCAGTTTTCCTGCAAGTATTTCAATGTTCTCTTGCATTACTTTGAATCCAGCCAAAGGACTGGACAACCACAGAAACCATCAACTGATTGTAAGATAAACCAAAGGGGAACCACTGAAGTTGCAAAACTTAGGTAGGACAGTAAAACATGAATACAAAAGGGGGATGGGGTAAGGGCAGCAGGGAAGAAGGAAGAGTTTAAACTTATCCCAGTATATTATCAGCATTCCCTCAGGCATTCTGTTCAAAAAGGTGGAATTTAATCTGCATTGCCTTTGAATAAGCAGTATAATCTCTAAGAACTTCTGCCTCACATACACCTTTTCTCCTGATAGCTGACAGAACTCCCTCACTGACAGCGTTCTGGTAAAATACCTTCAGGGTAAATGTGCTTTTATAAACAACCCATTCCCAAGTTACTGAAACTGTAATACATTTATAGGACAGAACCTTGGCATGTGTAATATAAAAGTCACTTTGGGGAACTGGAGCTGGCTGATGGCAGCTGAGTCTGGCTTAATGCTCTTACCAGCACATCCTATCTCCTGCCTTCTCTTGTGCAGATTTGCTCTAAAATAAACATTACCTTACAGTTCCCAAACTGACACAGGAGCATGATTAGGCTCAGTCTCCTCATTTCCTCATCCCTGTGGTGCAAGGACTTGTTAGAGTGGTCATGGAGCTGTCAAGTTAATGCAACACCCCTGAACTACCCGAGAGAGATTCAACCCTCACGTTCCCCACTCCTCATCTCACCAGAGGAAAGGCTGGCTGTAGAAATGGATTTTTAACATTTATGCCTCCCCCTTGTGTTTCTACCATATGAACTCGCCAGACTATGTTTATTTCACAGAAGATCTCTATAAATGCAAACTTTACACATGGTGCTGCTTTAGATTGGTGGGAAACACGTAAATCCAGGAAAGCATTGATATAAAACTTCTTTGAGTTGCTGAGTCTAAAATCTCCTGTGGAAATCAGCCAGAATTATAACTGCTACAGAAGTCATCTAATATTTAACAGAGGATAGGGAGCATAATATTCCATGCCTTCATTGAGCACAAGCCATGAAAAGATAAATTGAATATTACTAATTCTGGTCTACCAGCAAAGAATAATGCTGCCACTCACTTAATGAGAAGTGGGTTTGATTTCAGTTTGGGAAGTTTGTTTTGGTGTTGCTTATTGTTGGCTTTTTCTTAAAAAGTGATAAAAGTACTTTTATTTGGTAGAACCCAGAGAAAATAGTATGAAAAGCCAAGGAAGAGAGAATTCCTGGCGTGATCCCAACCTCCCTGACAAGAAGAAGGTCAGAGATGTCCTTTTTTCTGAAGAGTTTATCTGCACAGAGGGAACAAAAAAAGTTACCCAAAGGCAAGCAGAAGAAAAAAAGAAAAAAAATCAGAAGTCAAACATACCTGACTTGCCCACGCCAGCTCGACCGAAAATCGCCAGCTTCACTTCTGCACTCTTGGCCATGCTGGCAGGAAGAGCAGCAGAGGCAAACTCACTCAATTATCCAAAGTGAAGCAGAACTGTTCCCTTCTCCTGCCTTCAGCCTCACCGTGTCATTGTGACGTCAATGCAGAGCCTGGGGAAGAACACCACAAGGATGGAACTGCAAGGAGCCAGGCTCTCCCCTTCCCCTGCCCGCCCCCTCCTTTCTTTCTTCTTTTTAAATAATCCTGATAACTGATGCTATGTTCCTGCTTTAAGCATTGCAATACCACCACTGACACATTTGGCACTGTTTGTGCAGAACCTACCCTCAGCTTCCCGGCTATTGCTCTTTGCTTCACACTGGCACTGTGAGATTGCAAAAGGTATTTAACAACACCAAGCACCTGCCTTGCAGGGCTCCTAATTATTTATTTCTTCCTTTCTCTTTCAGCTGAAATTGCATAAATTTATTGTATTTGAATTCTATGCAGGGTATTATTTTTTGTAGAATATATTTAATAGCTGTGAGCACTCACTAGGAATAACTGCAGAGACCTACTCTTTCCTTGAGCCTCCAGCTCCAAAAAGGTTTCAATTACTCAGCAGCAGTTGCTTAAAACCCTTTAAGCACTTGGACCTTGCTCACTGCCTAAACAAATCCATACCCAGAAAGTTCTCTAGCGCTCCTTTTTAAGCTGCCTCAGCTCACACATAAACATTCAGCAAAGCATGGGGTGAGCAGAAGGATGCCAGAGTTTCTGGTACTGCACTTCGGGCATGGGAATTATCTGTTCACAGTTTTGCTGCATGACCTTGATTTCCCTAACCTGGCCAGTAAAATCTATAACCATGCCTGTAGTTGTAGAATGCTTTAAGATCTTCAGTGAAAACATGGTAATCCTGATGATGATGATCCTCAGCCCTGACTAAAACGTCAAATATTCGGTCTCCCCTTAAACCAGGGTAGAACTTTATGTGTGATTGCAGCCAGCTAGGGGTTTGCTGCTGAGCTGAAGTACCCACTTTAGCCATGAATTCTAACACTGGCGTAGGGTGCTTCCCATGTCAGCACTCCTCGCTCTACAGCAAAATGCATTTCTAACACGCTTTTTGAAAAAAGAAGGAAAAAAAGCCTAAAGCTTTTTCCTATACAAAAACGCTTGTAGAAAGAAAAAGTACAGACATCTTACATAGAGAACGGTCCCGATTCATCTCTGATGTCTAAATGTTCCCGATTTCTTTTGCTTCAGAATATGAGACCACTCTCAGCCTGCACGGGCAGGCAGAGGTACAAACTGTTTCAGGACGTGGCGGAACGGGATATTCAGGGACTGGGACACGGCGCTTGCCTCCCGCGAAAGCTCCCGGCAGAGCTGCTGCCACATTTCCGTGCCGGTTCTGTCCCTGCGGGCGAGCTCTGCTCCGCACGGCTCCGGGCAGGTGCGGTCCGCCCGGTTCCAGTGGCTGCGGTCACCGGCGCTGCCCGGCCCCGCATCCTCATCCTCATCCTCATCCTCATCCTCATCCTCATCCTCATCCTCATCCTCATCCGCATCCGCATCCTCCTCCCGTGTGCCCGCACCCGCGGGGATCCCCGCACCGCCCGCCCGGCCTCACCTCTCTGCGCGGTGTTCTCCGGTACGGCCCGGAGCGGCTCCGAGCGCTCCCGCCGGCACCGCGGCACGGCCGCACACTGCGGAGGGGCCGCTCACTGCGGAGGGGCCGCACACTGCGGAGGGGCCGCTCGGTGCCGCTCGGTGCCGCCCGCCCCTCCGCCCCTCCGCCCGGCAGAGGCTCCGCAGCGCCCGCGGAGCTCCCGCGCCCCCTGCGGGCAGCCCCGAGCGGCACCGAGAGGGAGAGATCCGGGAGGGACGCGGAGGGGAGCGGGAGGGAGGGAGCGACAGGGATGCGGGGCGACAGGGATGAGGAGTGCAGCGGGAGGGATGCGGAGAGGAGCGAGAGCGATGCGGAGCGGAGAGGGAGGGAGGGAGCGACAGGGATGCGGAGCGGAGCGGGAGGGACGCGGAGAGGAGCGGGAAGGAGGGAGCGGGAGGGATACGGAGCTGGAGAGATGAGGAGCTGAGCGGGAGGGATGAGGAGCTGAGCGGGAGGGATGAGGAGCTGAGCAGGAGCGATGCGGAGCGGAGCGGGAGGGATGCGGAGCCAGGCGGAAGGGATGTGGAGTGGAGCACTTGTGATGCGGAGCGGAGCGGGAGGGATGCGGAGTGGAGCGGGAAGGAGGGAGCGGGAGGGAAGAGAAGCGGGAGGAAGGGACACAAAGGGCCGGGGTGGCTCCGTCCCCTCGCCGTGTCCTCCCGGGAATGTAACCCGTGCCCGAGAGGAAGGGACGCAGCCCTGCAATTCGGCGGTACCGCAGCCTTTAATTATGTGGGACAACAGCTGCTGCTCGCTTGCTTGGATTCTGAGTCCGGCCAAGGCTGCCCTGCAGTTTATTTTAACATCTCAAGCGCTCTCCTTGCCTTTCTCGCTCCCGCAGTGCCGCTCAAGCAGAACTGATCTGTGCCACCCTGTGCGGAGCCAGTCCTGACGCGTGTGACAGCAAAGTGACCGCAGGGATGCTGCCCCATCACGCTGCTTTCCAGTGGCACCAACTTTTTATTCTGAGCCTTTCCTTTTTATTCTGATCCTTTCCTTTTTACTCTGAGCTTTTCCTTTTTATTCCGAGCTTTTCATTTTTACCCCGAGCTTTTCCTCCCGATTTCCGCACGTGGCTTATGGCAGAAGAAAGTGTTGTTATTTAAATTTCAAACGGGCAGAGCGAATCATGTAAATACATCAGCTTCTGCAAGAGGTTCGTGTCAGAGCCGGGGATCAAGTTCTGAGATGATAGGACCGAATTCACCGGACAGCTCTTACTTCCTTGTTTATTAAACTACCCAGTAATATAAAGATACATTAGTAACAGATGTGAACCAGAGCTGGAAAGCACTTAGAGTTCAGTGGATGTTCCTCCTCTGTTTCTGTTCCAACTCAGATCTGAATGAGATACCAGATGAGGAAAAGAAAAAGCTCTTCTCTCATTGTCTTCCTTCATGCAAAATAGAAGTTGGATTGGAAAAGATGTTTCATGGTCCAAGTTTTTCTACAGGAGCAAGATAAGTGTTTAGGGGGCAGGGTGGCAGTTCTGAGGAGAAGTGAGAACCTAATTCCCTCTAAGAAATGCCAGTTGCAGGCACGCAGGAGCAGATCTCAAAAAAGTTGCATTGCATATCACAGAAAGGCAAAAAGAAATTAGAAGGCAGATATGAAAGCAGTTGTGTGCTTTATACTTTACTTCTTAAAGGAAAGGCTTTAAGCCTTCTCTCACTGCTTGGTTTGCATAATTTAGAGGGATTAGCTTTTTCCATCCTCCTAAGAGAGCAACTGATGCGTATTTACATCTGGGGAAATGTCTGTTAGTCTCGAGGCCTGACATTTGTTTTGTGTCTATGGAATTCACCCTGCATGGGGCTGTCAAATTAAATACAATAACTGGGTTTTCCAAAACAGCAGATAATTTATTGGTCATTAAAATCCCAGTGGCTGTGCAGTCAGCTTGTGCTGAAGTCTCTTATTGGTGAAGAATTCAGTAAACACTAACCATGGACACAGGCAAAGGTTTCAGAGGGTTGAGACCCAAGACTGGTCCAGGAGTGCTCCAGTTGCTGTTTGTTTTCTGCCTACTCACAGTGTTTCATAATGTTGATGAGGTTTTGGGTGGCTTTTTCCTACCCAAAATGGATTTTGAAAGCCTTAATCTTTAATCCTGTAGTTCAGGGGCCACCTTGCCTTGTCATAAGCAATGGTTTTTTTGCTTGTTGTGGCTGACATGTATTTTCTCAATAGTTCTGCCATTTGTGCTGATCAAAAAATGTGCTTATAGGTGTTACCTTGGCACAGGTAATGAGATCAATGAGTGAAATCCATCTGACTGCCTGGAGGATGGGGCAAGTTCCTTTTCTGCCTTTCCATTTTCTGAACATTTGAGAGAAGGGAAGCAATGCTGGGGTCTGATCCCTGATGATCTGTGAGCTGTCAGTCTGAATTCAGCCTCATCCAGCAGAAAATCTGGAGAACCCTCCTTCCCCTCCATCAGAGGAAAGTGTTCCTAGGTTTCTCCCATTTGCCACTTGGTGAGTTTCACTTAGTGTTTCACAGCTTAATTAATTTTTGGTATATTTAAAAATATTTGGTATTTAAAAATATTTGGCACTTTGGTATATTTAAAAATATTATTCTTGTTTCACCAGGAGGAAGAACAATCCCAGCCCAAGAAGATAGTTGTTTTATGGGAATTACTGGCTGAAATGAAGTTGAGGGAATCTCACTCCTCTTGGTACACTCCTTTCCTACAGATGTGTGGGATATATCTGGCTTAGCTCCCTGATATCCAGACCTGGCTGCACCCCTTTTCACTTAGGAAGATGCCACCAGTGGTCCACAACAAGAATTTTGGTTAATTTATGGTCTAGCCTGTAGTCAGAGCTTTGGACTGCAGTCTGAGCTTCTTCACCAGAAACCTTGGTGGCTGAGGAGCAGATAAGCAAACAGGAGTGTGAATTGGAATGCCAATGAAGCCACATGTTCCTAAGTCAAAACAGAATGCTGATTCAGGATTGATTAATAGAAGTTCATCCAAGCAGTTTCAGTTGACAGAAATATTTTAGAAAAATTCACAATTTCAAGTACCACTAAACAATACTTTACAGGCTTAAAAAGATATATCCAGGTGCTGCCAAAGTCCAGAGAGTTCCTTCTGCCTGGTCTAGAGGTGCTACTTTTTAATGTCAAGCACTTCCACTGGCTTATTTTTTTCATCCTGGTCTGTTTTCAGAAGGAATCTTTTTTTGTGGAAGCCAATGGCATTTGACTTCTGAAAGGTGGGAGAGAGGACTGGTGTGACACTGCAGGCCTGGCAGCTGGCACGTGAAGAACACATAGGAGCAAGAAAGGAGCTGAAGTTGTGGGTTGTTCGTTTTTTGTTTGAGGTTTTTCTTTTGTTTTGAAGCTGGAAATCCCATTGTAGATGGCAATTCTGTAGGTTTCAACAACTTCCAAAACAAGATTTGGGTACGAGGTTTGTTGTGACTCATGAGAGATGAAAAACAAGACACAGATTTCAGAAGGTCATTTAGGAGTCTCTGAATCCTTTGGGACTGAGGGACATTTCATCCTCTGAGCACCTCTGTGCAGCTGAGTGCCAGAGTCTACAAACCGTGGAGCAGAGCATGCACTGGGGGCAGGGATGAGAGAACAGAGCCCTCTGGTACAATTCCTGCAGTAAGGAAGGGGCTGCTCAGCTCAGGGCTGCTGTTGTAGAGAACAGCCCAGATGTGCCATGAGGATTGGTCCAGAACACAGCACATCTGCTCAGAGCTTGCATTAAAAAGCAAATCAGTGACTTGGTTTATTTTCTCACCCTTCCTTCCAGCCTTTCTGCTGGGAGCTGAGGTGGTATTTGATAACTAGTAGAAAAACTACCAAATAAATAGCATGTTAACACAGTGTTTGCAGCTATTACTAAAGATTCACAGTGAGGCATTCAGATTGTTTTCTTAATTTTCATAGAATATCTTCCAAATGTTTTTGTGTTGGCTCTCAGCAATGTACATAAATCTGCTCAGTCACACTAATCTAGCACAGTGGAAAATATTGCAACTTTGTCATTAAATTATGGATGAACTCTTCTGTTAGTTTGGCTTGTAGTCAATATGATATATTGCTGTTTTAAATTAATATTGCATTTTCTCATTTTCCCTGGTAGCTTATGAAATGCTGATTTTATAGTGATGGATTTTCTTGAGTGTAAGCTAAGCACTTATAACTTCTTTTCCACTCCACTTTTTCCTCAGCAGATAGAAGAAAAATCAAATACACAGCACAGGCTTCATTCTTTAGAAGTGTTTATTTCTAATGGAATAAATAAGACCACAGTGCTGCGAGTGTTTGTGTTTAACCTTACAGGGACAGGTTTAATGGAGTGGCCAGAGGAGGTACAGCTTCCCCATCAGAACCTTTAAAGGTTTTCTGTGGAGCTGTCTGCAGAACTTCAACATTTTGTCCCATTTGGCTCCCTGAGGTGCCAAAACAGGGCAGAGGAGATGAGCGTGGGATGCTCTTGACAGCACAGTGTGGATGTCACACGTGCAGATGCCTCTGCCCTAATGCAGACCTTGTGTCTCAGCTGGCCCTTGGCACATTTGTGCAGAGATATAAATACACAGCTTGGGTTTCTTGCAGTAGCAAGATTTTTATCAGGTATATTTAAGAGTGATGCATGAGCAAAGCTGAGAGGCACAGCTCAGTAGCAGCTACTGCCAAGTGGAGGAGAGAGCTATCAGCTCATGTTTTATAACACATGGCCAACAGATACACTTCATATTATTATGAAGATAAAATTCTGATAACCTTTGTTTCTTCTCACCATCGAATAGGTTGTGTCCTGAGAGTCTGTCCTAAAAATGGGCAAGCTGAGAATCCACACAGCTCTGATCCCATCACAGCTTGGTGTGCTGTTATTTGGTTTGCTCTCTGTTTAGGGTTTGCTCTTCTGGTATTGTTATTTCTCCCACCACACTTAGATCACAGAGAGATTGTTTAAAAGCTTTTTGTTAATGTAAGCTTAATTGTTGTATTATCAAAAAGAAA